TATAAGGAAATATAATCATATTTTAATTATATTCAAGTGGGCAAAGAATTAAGCAAGAGAGCAGAAGTGGCACACGCTTCTGGTTCTACTATTGGGAACAGTAAATCACAAATAAAATTCTGCCCCTCATTTCCACAGGAAATCGGGAAGCCTTAAAGTCAGATCCCATCATGGGGAAAACAGATGGTCACAATTTCCAGTAACTGGCTACCAGGCTGTAAAAAAATGCAGCGCTTACATAGATGACCAAGATCAACAAATAGATTTTCAAATGACACTGCCTTTCAGCTTGCACTGCCATTTAATAAGATCATGGTTGATCTGATTACAACCTCAACTCCATATTGCCACTATCCCCCAATAATATTTCACCCCCTTGCTTCCCAAGAATCTATCGATCCAACCTTAAAAATAATCAGGATTCTGCTGCCATGGCCTTTTGAGGAAGAGAGTTCCGAAGATTCAGGACCTTCTGAGAGAAATCAGGACTCAACACCTAACATTCACTTCACACTCATACATGAGACAATGCTGCTAGGCTCTTAACACCTCTCAGAACTTCCACACACCTCAAGATATATAGTTACAGCAATCAGACCACACAAACCCATTGCTACACACTCTGTTTCCCTCTGTCTTACAGAATGAGATCATGCCTATCGATACAGAGCATCTGAGAAATGGCAGAGGACGGCTCATGTGCATCTCCTGAGCCCATTAGAGAAGACTGTATTCCACAAAGATGGTAGCTAAGGCTTCTGGTTTCCTTTCATTCCAACTTTCAACTCCAAATCCACTTTTTTGTATCCAATTATGTGGTTAATTGCCAATTGAAAGTTAAGGTGCCATCCCTGTTTTGAAATCACAACAGGTCAGCATCATCCATGGAGAGAGAGCAAGCTAACGTTTCGAGTCTAGATGACTCTCCATCAGAGCTGGGAAGAGCAAAACTTCTTCAGGGCGGACATTCATCAAAGAAATGTGGCAGTCGATTAAACATGATGTAGGAGCAAATTACTGGAGAAGCTGAAATCTGTACTGAAAACAAAAACTGCTGGAAATCACAGCAGGTCAGGCAGGTCTGATGAAGAGTCATCTAGATTCGAAAAGTTATCTTGCTCTCTCCATGGAGGGTGCCTGACTCGCGGTGATTTCTAGAATTTTTTGTTTTCTGTACAGATTCCAGCATCTGCAGTAATTTGCTCCTATCCCTGTTTGCTGCACTGAGTTCCAAAACATGTGATTAGGTCCTGTGAAATCTGGGAGATCATAATATCAGCTGTGTTGAGCCAAGTAGCAATGGTCAGCTGTCTACTTATTGACATGAATGTGGCCTGCAGCTCAATATAAAAATGTTGCTGACTGATTGTATGGTCAGGAGGGGGCGCAGGCACAAATGTGGTTTGCACAATGCACAGCTTGTAATAAGGCTACAGAATTCTGCAGAAAAGTCTCAATAAGGCTTTGATAGAGCTCTTAGGCTGTTTGCATCTGGAATCGATGACAATATCCAAAATAATGGTTTGATCCTGCTTTATATCCCTTCCCAAATCCCATTTCAATCTTATCCTGCTATCTTCTATAGTGTAGACAGTGTAACCACAAAGGTCATGCTATCTCCTTTCCAAATACCAAATACCTCTCCTCACCTCAGCATGGAAATTGATGCACATGGTTGGCTTGATGTTCACAGGAAACACTGTTCTCTGCTGTGCGACTAGCTATGGATCTAGTTACAGGAAGAGGCATCTCCAAGCAGGACCCTCCTGGCTGAAGTAAATAGAGGGTTAACACTCCTTGAAGACCCTTGATGGGTATGCATTTGATTGAGAGCCTTCCTCCTGATCCTTCTCCACACAGCTTTCTTTTCTGCTGTGTTATTCTCCAAATTGTGCTGTGGGGGTCTAAGACGAAACACAGCTATTTTTACGATGACTGAAAGCAGTCTCTCCCAGACAAGCCTTCCAACTCTGACTGCCTGGTCAAAGTCAAGCAATATTACCTTGAAAATCCAAATGATTTTCAAAACACTTTCAATAACATACAGCAAAGTACTTTCCATGAAGTCTTCACCAACAAAGTCAAAAATTATCTCATCTGGAGGTCCCATGGTGATCCCTTTAAATCAGGCCAGCTGGGGATCCCTCATGCAACAACATGCATGTTCAGCTGGAAATGATTAAAACAGAGCGTTAACAGGACCTGTGAAGGGTCTTCTTCTGGCGCAGTGGTGGTGTCCCTATGGCTGACCCAGGAGGCCCAGATTCAAGTCCCACCTGCTCCAGAGGTGTGTAAATATATCTCTGAAAATGCTGACTGATAAAATAGGTAAACTGAAGAAAAACAGGACCCATGAGGCCCTTTTGTGGTGCAGAAGTAATGTCCATACCCCAACCAGGAGGCCCAGGTTCAAATCCCACCTGCTTCAGGGGTGTGTAATAACATATCTGAACAAGCTGATTGGAAAAATAGGTAAGTTGCACCCGTGAGGTCCAATTTGGTAGTTTGTGCACCAAATCTGCATTCAACATTGTTTAACATCACAATCCCTACACTGCGCATGCTTTCAAGCCAGACATGGCAGCCTACAGTTAATGCCCTTACAGTTAGGGATTGCCAAGTGGACTGTATTAGAAATGACTGTAAACATTTCGGCTGCAATTTCCTGATATGTGCCTACTTTGTATTGAGTTTCTGAATTCGTAACAGTCAAGTTACACAGCTATCAAGGGAAGAGGCACTCCTTCAACAATTCTCTTTGCTATCTTGAGAATTGACTATTCCAATGTTCTGCTGGCTGGCCTCCCATTCCCCCCAAATCCGCTACGTATATTGGATCCATCCTAAATTTCACTGCAACAAAAACAAAGTTGCTGAAAAAGCTCAGCAGGTCTGGCAGCATCTGTGAAGGAAAAAGCAGAGATAACGTTTCGGGTCCGGTGACCCTTTCTCAGAACTAATAGTGGCTTGAAAAACGTCAGTTTATACGCAGAAAAAAGGGAGGGGGATGGGGTAGGGAGTAAACGATAGGATTGAGAGAAGATCAGTTGGACAGACAAAGAGTTGATAACAATCAGGCTGGGAGGGTGAATAGTTGTTAATGGGGATTATTAGTGACTAACAACAGGGGGTGTGTAACGGCAGGCTATGTGGTAACAAAGCCTGGTGTGTGGGGTAGAGGGCTGGGACATGGGAGGGTTTAGGCCCTAAAATTATTGAACTCGATGTTGAGTCTGGAGGGCTGCAGGGTCCCCAAGTGAAAAATGAGGTGTTGTTCTTCCAGCTTGCGTTAAGGTTCGCTGGAACACTTCAGCAAACCAGAGACAGAGATGTTGGCCAGGGAACAGGGTGGTGCATTAAAGTGGCAGGCAACAGGTAGTTCAGGGTCTTTTTTGCGAGCAGAACGTAGATGTTCTGCAAATCGGTCACCCAGTCTACGCTTTGTTTCCCCAGTGTAAAGGAGACCACATTACGAGCAGCGAATGCAGTAGACTATATTCTGGGAAGTCCAGGTGAAGTGTTGCTTCACCTGAAAGGTATGTTTTGGGCCCTTAGATACTGGAGACGGAGGAGGTAAATGGGCCAGTTATAGGGGTATGGGGGGTTGTTGGGGGCAAAGGAAGTGTGGACCAGGGTGGTCCAGAGGGAATGATCCCTGGTGTAAGGCGGACAAGGGAGGGAATGGGAATATGTGTCTGGTGGTGGCATTTTGCTGGAGGTGGCAGAAATGGCATCTGCTGATCTTCTGGATGTGGAAACTGGAGGGATGGTAGGTAAGGACAAGGGGAACCCTATCGCTGTTGTGGGAGGGAAGAGAAGGGGTGAGGGTGGAAGTGCAGGAGATGGGTCGGACCTAGTTGAAGGCCCTTTTCCAGCAACTTTGTTTTTGTTCCTGATTTACAGCATTCGCAGTTCTTTCGGTTTTTATTTACTAAATTTTACTGCCTTTATCCTAACTAGTATTAAGTCACATTCACCCATCACAGCATGCTTGCTCACTTATACGGGCTCGCAGTCTGGCTATGCCTCCATTTTAAAATGTTCATCCCTTTCAAATTCCATCATGGGCTCATTGCTTCATATCTCTTTCAGACTTACAACCATCCATTCCAAGTCTGGCCATCAGCTGTCTAAAACCCTTAGCTCTGCAATTTCCTCCCCC